ATATCTGTTCTAATAACAGATTGATCTAACACATGTTTTCTTTCCTCACATATCATATTGTCATCATCTGCCTTAATTTAAATGTAATATTTTGATTATACACATTCCCTAACTCAATTGCCGGAACCAGATCCGTGATCTCTTGAACGGCGACCTCGTGTACGTTCACCTCGTGTACCTTGACCTCCTGAATGGCGACCTTGTGTACGTCCACCTCGTGCAACTTGACCTCCCGAATGTCGTCCTTTTGTACGTTCACCTGATGGACCAACTGAATATAAATATTTTAATTAATTCATAAAATAATTTTAAAATCGCTCTTTCAATATTTAATGGCATAGCAAAGTTATACATATATCAAGATAGCTATCTTTTTTCCTTAATTACATTTTATTAAATTACAATTTGTTCTTCTTTCATTATATCGTAAACCCACAATTATATACTTAAGATTATCTATTTTAAAGAAACTTCCGTATGTTGATTCCACATGGATTACATATACGAAAGTCAATTAATTACCTTCATTTCGATTCTCTTTGTTAGAAATGTGAAGTTGTTTGACATACTCGTACAATTTTTGCATATCTGCTATAAGTTCGTTTTTCATGGTTTCGTTATTTTGAAGATCGGCGTTAAGTTTATATATCATTCCATCAATTTGTTGTACAAAGTTAGGATCGTTCTAACAAATGGGAAATAAAAATTATGTTATGATAATTGAATAGAATCATTCAATCTCTCATTTTATTAGTTTCAGGACATATCGATATTAGGACATATCGGGGTAGTTCAATGTACGAACAGTTACCCTACTGCTTTCAGGACCTACAGCCACTGTGTCTCGGATAGTATATTATCCTATCGAGGAATAGTGTTTTTATGTTTTAGAGCAAACGTAACACCGTCCCGATATGTCCGCACACTCTCACTTTTCCATGTTCCCTTCTGACAAAAAATGTCCAAAAAGGGAACCCATTTTCATTACAGATAAAAATAAATCTTAAATATACAAAATATTTTTACCTGATAAAAGTCTCTAACTTTTAAATGGTATTTTAAATGTTCAGTAATTGCTTTGGGATATGTTTTTAAATCCTTATATGCAAGAGCCAAATTTTCATATTGTTTCATGACATTGGTAATCTGTGTCGCAAGTTCAAATTCTTTATTTTTTAGAATAAATTTTTTATAAATTTAAATAACAATATTACGTAATGGTCGAATTGCTATTTCCGGATGAGATGGCGAGTCACCAACTTCTCCGAGCAAAGGAGTAATTTGCTTGGATAATTGAGTAAAATCCTATTAAAAAACTTTATAATTTATCTAATAGCTTTTGATTTAAAATTGTCAACTTTATCAAATTTGTAAAGTCGCTCGACATAACGGTAAAATGTTTCCATATCTTTTATAAGCTTGTGTTGCAAATCTTCGTTCTCTTGAAGATAGGTGTTTTGTTGACTTATTTCTTGATTGATTTCTTGTATAGAGCTAGGATTGTCCTAACAAAATAAAAATTGAAATTTTATAGATAGATGAATAGAATCATTTTATTTACTAGATATTTAGTTTAACTCTCAGCTTTTCAAAATCTTAGTTTACTAGAACTAGAGCTCGGAAGTTACCATAATACCGGTGGTATTTTATGGTATTTATCGATATTTAGTAACAGTAGTACGGTACGGTAACGTGAAAAATTCCGGGGTCTAACTAAAAAGATATCAATTTTCCAAATAAATTCGTATACCTATCTTTAATATTAAATAAAACTAAAAGTCAAATATTGTTACTTGATTTTGTTCAATGTCATTTAACAATTCATTTAGATGAACTTTAATCTCATCTGATTTCGTTTCTAAGTCCGTAAATGCATAAGCTAAATTATCATATTGTTCACTAACATTGGTAATTGGTTTCGCACGTCCTTTTTTAAATAAATTGTTTTTATTAGTTAACGGTCGAGGTTCTATGCCCAAACAAGGTGCTAAGTCGCCAACTCTTTCAAGCATAGGAAGAATTTGGTCATTTAATTGAGTAAAAATCTTTAAAAATGCTTTTATTCTTTATTTGCTACAATGATACAAACTTTATTTTCACGTCCCACTGATTGTTGCGATCCCGAACCTTCCCCTGTGTACATCCCTCCTGAGAGCGATCCTGAAGGACCTCCTGGATTCATTCCAAATAATAATGGAAACAATTGAAGAAGATAAAAATTTAAAAGAATTAAATTGTAAATTTTCATCTTAAATTAATTAAATATTTACCTAACTAGCAGAGGTGGGTCGGAATTCCGATTTCCAATTTCCGACGTTTTTTTTCCTTCCGATTTCCGAAAAACTTTTGATTTACGATCTCCGAGTTCCGACTTTTGAGCCATTTCCGATTTCCGACAGTTCCGTTTTCCGACATCTTCGTCAGTTTCGACCCATCTCTGCTAACTAGAAAAACAATAAATTTCATTAATTTTAATAAAAATTCTGATAGGAGGTTTATTTAGATTAGCGCGTCTTAATGTTTTTCGTTAAAGAAAATTTTCTTTCTTTCTTACCTATTTTAGTTTCGGAAAAATTTTTTTAAACTGCCTAATATTTTATAATATTCGGTTTTCTACTACTAAAACTACATATACCGGATTGTCTCTAATAGAAGCCCATCTCCAATAGAAGCCCATTCGCTATTATAAGCCCACCCAATGAGGGGTAATGAAAAATAGAAGCCCATGCCCCAATAGAGGCGCATGAGTGGTATTGAGAATAGAAGCCCAGGGCTTGTATTAGAGACAATCCGGTATGTTTAACCGTTCAAGTTTTTCCCCTTAAAAGCCCAGGGGCACCATGTTAAAAAAATTAGAGGGCTGTTATTGTAGAAAATTAATGTTTATTGTAGTAAATTAACGAATACAGCAATCTAGCAACATGCTTCTCCTTTTAAGGGCAATTAGAAGCGTACGTAACAGACGTGCCGTAAAACACTTATCGTAGTTAAATAGCCATTCAATTCACAAGACTTTCACTTCACGTATTACTTCCGATCACTTCAAACTTTTACTTTTCCTATCAACGAATTCTTTAAATATTTATCTATTTTTTTTCTTTTTACCCCTAGACAAATTATTTTTTAAATTCATTGATAGACTAATATTGACAAAATATAAACATCCCCTTAAATTTCCTGTCAATACATAATTATGGAATTTATTTTATTTGTGTCGGACATTTGTCCATTGATTTTAACTTGTTATATTTGGCAAACACTTTTTAAGAAAATTTTTTTATTTTTGTGAAATATTTTATTTAAAATATTTTTAAATATAGGGGTTACTTCAATCTCTTAGGGTGTGCTTCTATTAGAGAATGTGCTTCAAATAGTAGAGACTGTACTTTTATTGTATGTTTTTCTAGATTACGTTGATTTTCGGAGTACGCGCCTAATCTTTTGTACTTTTTTATAATATAAGTATATAAGTTTGCTGGAATCTTTGTAGATTTTGATTAATGTTGGTGATAAATTTTTTTGGGAAGTGGACGTATAATTTTGCTTATATACAAATTTTTAAATTAAATATTCTTGAAAGATTCGTATTAATTTATATTTTAATTCAGAAATTCTCTGAAATCCCTTTTGATCCTTTTTAAAAATCGAGATATTTATATGTAATGATTCTAAGATTATCTTATTATGAACATATAATAATCGAAAAAAATGAAGTTTATCTAATAACTAAGATTTATCACAAGAGTATTTTAACTAAAAATCACCGAAAAATGTTTAAATAAAAAATAAAATTCATGAAATTAAAAACTAATACAAATTGTGCTAGAAAGGATAGAAAATTATAGGATCGGTGGAGGGATTGTTAGAAATGAAATGCACATTATGACAAAACTTTAACAATAGATCACAGTAACTAAGATTACTTAACCCGGTATCTCAACAAAGTTTTGAAACTGTGTCTATTTAGCAGGCTTCTGCGGAAATTATTTAAAATTTTAAAAATAGTTAAAATATTTGAAACAAATATACTTCCCTAGACTTCCGATATTTCCATATTTTCAGTTGTCTATCTAAATTATTATTTTGTGATAGTCACGGGAATCCTTCATATAGGGAAGGATGGATCTAGGTATATGTATTCAGTTTTGTCATAATCTTGAATAAAAAAGTCGGCCAATTTTTACTCGTTTTCTTTGCTTTCTCAGCTGGTCTCGCATTCTCTCAATCCTGTCAATACCTTAAGTATAAATTAATATAAAATTGTATCTTGATAATAATGATATTCCTTACTTCAATTTCCTGAACCAGATCCTCGACGTCCACCAGTACGACCTTGCCCACGATGGCTCTGACTAGGTTGTCCCTGTCCATTTGTTCCCGCACCTAAATTTATTACTTAAACCATAAAATATCTATAATATGATTTTTCCTTCTTACTTTATTTTATAAAAAAATCTTACTCCATTTTTATAAATACGCTATTTATTTTCATAGGAAACCTCCTCTAGGTGGATTATCAATTAATTACCTTCATTTCGGATCGGTTGATAAATTTCATTGAGAACTTTGATATTACCGTAAAATTTTTGCATGTCTTTTAAAACTTCGTTTTGCAGCTCTTTATAAGTTTCAACATAATTGTTTACCATAACAATTTCATTATTGATATTAACAACGGAAGGATTGTTCTGACAAATGTAAAATTATGTGTATGGGTTGTTGAATAAAATACCTGATATTGCTCTCTCGCGTTTAAAAGTTGATCTAAACGTTCATTTATTGCATTAGATTCATTTAATAATTCGGTATATGCATAAAACAAATTATTATATTGTTCTCTAAGATTGGTAATTGGTTGAACAAGTGAAGGTGTTTCTTTATTTTTTAAAATATAAATTGTATTTATAGTTAAAAATTATATTTTCTATAAATCTAAATATAAATAATTACTTAACGGCCATGGTTCTAAGTAATCATAAGGCGATGAGTTGCCAAATGTTTCAAGCAAAGGAAGAATTTGTCCGCTCAATCGAGTAAAAGCCTATTAAAATTTTTTGTTTATTAAATTTCGTTACAATAATACAAACATTTCGTCCCCTTGGTTGTTGCGATCCTGAAGGACCCTCTCGATTCATTCCAAAAGATATCGAAATAAATTGAAGAAAACAAAAATTTAAAAGGATTAAATTGTAAATTTTCATCTTTAAATTAAATAAATGATAAAATTGAAATATAATCAAAGTTAATATTGAATGTATTCAAATCAACACTGTAATTGATATTTAAAAACATCCCCAGATTAAGGGTGGGATTCCTAAAATACCAGTCATTTTTTATTTTATAAGTGTATTTGTATTTGATCTCCTAATTTGCTTTAAAATTAAACCCATTCCCAAACTTAGCCAAATAGTTTATTGAATAAAATAAAATGAATAGTAAAGCAAGTTGCTCCTATTTTTAAAGCCAATTAAATCTGGGCGTAACTTATATAAGTGCGCCGAAAGTCTCGTCTTGAATGGCGCTATTTTCATTTATATAAATTTTCTTATTACCCCTAGCAAAAATATTTTTTTAATTTATCATTAAATTTTCAGCTGACAAGCTTTTAAATTTAAGAGGACGCATAAGTTGGTGGGTCAATTTCATGGAACGCCTATAATCTCCTTGCCCTTTATTTTTTACTCCTAGCAAAAATCGCTTTTCAATTTACCGGCAAACATTGAGCTAAATTGAGCTAAAATTTACGAGGCATGCCTTGACAGGTAAATAAAGTGACTATAGTAAAGCAGCTGGGCTATAGCTATTCCTCCCCTTTAGCTAATATGGGTCCCGTTTTTCCTTTATTAAATTTAAATATTCTTCTTCTACTCAACAAATACATATAACTCAAACAATAATTATACAAGTTTTATTTAAATAAGTTGGGTTTAAGTTTGGGTATCAAGTTTGATCAAGACGAGCTTGAAATGTAGAAAATACATAAGTATTTATATGGTTAAGGAATGGTCGGAAGAAGGTTAAATGAGTGAGTTTTAAAACAATGATAAGCAAGAAATAAATTTAGAATAAATGGGAGGAAGTTGAGGATCAAAGTAAATATGTTTTAAATGAAGTTAGGTAAGGTAATTTAATTTTGGCATGTTCTATGAAAAAGCAATTTTATTTAAATAAGTTGGGTTTAAGTTTGGGTAGCATGGTTGCTCAAGACGAGCTTGAAATGTCAAGAACCCTCTTCTTTTTACAACATTTCCCTCAGAACATTATTTGAATTAATTATCTTTATATTCTCTTGTCAAACTCTTTCAAACTAAAATTAGCTAAACTCAACCATCTCTATTTCCCGCCCTCTATCACTCATATAAATCTATTAATTGCTATTTAAAAACAATATTTAATTATAAGTAAGATTATATAAAATAAATTTAAAGCATTTAAGACTTCTTTTAAAGCAATGAAAATTTATCCCTGATCTTTCCTTTTACCCCTATACATCGAAATTTTAAAAAATCGGATCGAAATTTCGAACTTTTAAATTTTTAAAGCAAGCATTCAGGTGATTTTTATTATTATTATTCAGGGCAAATACTCCCGTGATTGAATATATACAATCATATGTCGGCGGGATATTTTAACTCAAAGCAATTTTTCAATTTGTAAAGTGCAAGTGTCGATTTTAAAATAATGTATAAATAATATATAATAAATAATAAAATATATAAATATAAAAATAAAATATAATAAAACTATATTACGATATATTTTTAATAAAATAATATATTTACATACATATAACTAGAACTGAACACCGACCGCGAACCCATACCCCGTTCCCAAATGCTTTTTCACACTTCTCCCCGACACGAACCACGACCCGAGAAAGTTTCGGGGATTTCGACGTATATACCCTAAGTATAAAATTCCAATTTTTAAGGGAATTTTAAGAAAAAAATCAAAAAATTTCCTTCAACTTTACTTTTCCATTGGTATTTTTGAAAGGATATTGTGGTTCTAATAATCGCCTATATTTCTAATAAAATAGGAAACTTAATCCCTCCAAATCTCCTTATACCCCAGAATCAAAGGGCAAAAAAGGGCATTAATCTTTTTAATTCAGAAATTCTCTGAAATTACTTTTACTCTGATTTCTATTTTTAAAATTGAGATATTTATATGTAATTATTCTAAGATTATTTTATTTATTAATAATTAAAAAACTGAATTTATTTAGTAACTATGTTTATCACAAGAGTATTTTAACTACAAATCACCGAAAAATATCTAGATAAAAAATGGAAATAAATTCATTAAATTGAAAACTAATACAAATTGTGCTAGAAAGGATAGAAAATTATGGACATGTTCGTCTTGTTGATAATTTCGTTCAATTATAAATTAATATAAATTATCTTAATATACCCCTTACTTCAATTGCCATGAACAGATCCACCACTTCCACCACTACGAACTCGTCCATGTCCACGTTGACCATTTTGGCCTTGTCCTTGCTGACCTTGCTCATGTACATATTGCTCTCGTTGCCCTTGTTCATAGTGGCCTTGCGCATGCTGGCCGTGTCCAATTAGTGCTGCCGCAACTAAATGTGTCAATTAATCCATAAAATAATTTCATGTGGATTATATTCAAGCCACTTACTTTCATTTCGAATCGCTTGATCAAAATTATGAAGTCGATAGAGATAATAGCGAAGTATTTGCATATCTGCCAAAAGTTTGGTTTGTTGGGTTTTGTTAATTCCAAGAAAGTTGCGTATTTGTTGTTCCAAGTTAGGGTTGCCCTAACGAATTTGAAATTAAAATTATATATAGTTGAATAATGTAAAGCGGTTGGTTCCGTTCCCTAGTGGTTGTGGTTCTGGTGTGATAAACAGCGTTGAGTAGTTGCAATCATGGATGAACTCCGCAAAGTATAGAACAAAGGGTTTCGCACCCAGTTGAATGAATGAAGTTGTCGCTGAAAGAATGAGAGCTGGGTGCGGCGCGACGGTATGAACCGCACAGCTGTCGGGAGGTTGAATTAGACTGAATAAAGTGAAGAGGAGCTGAGCTAGTCGGGAGGTAGCTGAGCTGGAATATCCCGGGAATCCCTCAATCTTCTAAAATGTGATCCTCTCTAGTGGGCGAAAGGATGGAACCAAAGCTCTGTAGATTGGCGAGCTAATTGGATTGCGGCTCTTAAATGGACGAGCGGAAGGGATCACACGCTCTTTAGTGGACGAGCGGGATCAGACACGCCTTAGGACGGCGAATTAAAGGAATACCAAGCAAAAGAAAGAATAAACAAAAATAATATTTATTCCGGACCTTAAACTTGGGTAATTAAACCATAAAATTAAAATAAGTGAAAAAAGACTTAAGTTTGGCCAATTAAGTTAAAGAGAATTTAAAGTAGATTAAAGGCCAAAACCTAAGTTGGAAAAAACTAATAGAATGCAGGTGGGGAAAAATGTGAATAATTAAAGGAGAAAATACACAGAGAAGATTAAAGCTAAAAATAGCTATAAAACTTAATGAATGAATAAAATGAAATAAGCTATTGGAGAAGCGATCAGAAATAAAAATGGGGTTAGCACAAAAGGGTGTGGCTAACAAAAGATATGGGCAACTGGTACAATCGGTTAAAAAATAGACGGTGCAAAAGATCACCAATAAATTAATCAAAAATATTTAAATCAATCTATGGCAAACGTCGCTTCGGCGACACTGGGGCGCCGGCCACTAGCGGCGAGCATGCCATCATCTGAGTGCCCATTGTTGCAGCAAAGCATATTGATTCTCCAATGCCTATTGGTTTCTCTGTGGGTTCTCCTTTTATTGTACTCGGGCAGTATTTTTCCCCCTGATTTTGCTTGCGAAGAGAAGGTCGCATAACACGGATAGGAGTTAAATAAAGCGGAGAAGATTGCAATAATGAATTGGATTGCGGCGAACACGATTTTAACATGCGTGATAATCCAATAGATAGAAGGAGAAGGAATAGCAGTCCCGATCCTGATAAAGTTCCAGAATTGACGGGAGCATTCCGCTTTATTAAACAGTTGCCGGCGCAGCACAATTCTAAATTGGCGAATTCGCTGGGGCTGATTATTGTAACTCCTTTTTTAGTGAAGAGAAATTGACATTTTGGGCATGTCATATTAATTTGGGGCGATCCATTGATGGATGCAAAACAGAAAATTAATGATGTCACGTTTAGTAGGGTAGACACGAGTGCTCTTGATTTGCTCCTCGTTGTCATTCGATGTCCGGCGTTAGTCTTTGGGTCCCGCACGGAAGTTTCTTGAGTTCCTTCGGTAGCGGTGTCGACTTGAGGTGGGACAATAAACTCTTGTTCAGTTGGTTTTATTTCTAGAGGGTACACGCTATTGACTGGACGCGTGACAGTGTTGCCATTTTGCGGTTTTATTTGAACTCTCCTGGTTGCTCCAGGTTTTCCTCCTAACTTGGCGATACGTTCCATGGGCCATAGATCCTTTGGAGTATATTTTTCTTCTACAATTAAGATTTCGCCAATCCGAGGGGCGGATTGGATTTCCAGTCTCTTTCCTTTATGGGCGGTCTGAGATCTGGACTTTGGTAGAATAGGTCGAGCTAATGCTGGACGCTTGATTTGTTGCGCACGTGGTTTGAGGGGAAGTAAACCATTTTGGGCGGTTTCTAGTGGGTAGTGCTCGGTCACATTTATAGTTTGCTGTTGCGCAATATTTATAAGCATAGAGCCAGCGGTTAGATAATCATTTGCTGAGAATGCGGAGTTTTCTCTACTAGTTGCTTGAGAAATAGAGAGAAGCTCCGGGCGGCGATTCTTTATGAGCAAAGAAGGTTCGCGGCCAGGTTTGATGAATTTAGATTTTAGAAAACGAAGAACCCAAATGGTAGTCCTTATTTTATCCCATGAGTGAAATCTCCCTGTATTGATTAGGATGTTGTTCATTTTAGACTCAGCGGTGGAGTCGGAATTGGGTAAAGTTCTGATTTGCTTGGCGCGGTTTGCTATGAAGACCGGTTGGTGGACAGTTTCCTTAAGCCAGCTAAGGGCAATAGTTGTGTCACTCCAAATGAAGGATTTATCGATTTCCCAGTTTATCTCATTTTGGATGAATTTAGTCGAATTAAATCCAATTAAAATCCCTAGTAGTTCTAATCGAGGTAGGGTGAGTTTCGAGTTTGCTTTTAGTGGGCGAAAACAATTTTTTGAGAGGAACAAGGCGGTTCGCTCCTTTGAAAGATGATGCCTATTGGCGGCAGCTAGGATGTACGGAAAACTAATAGTCCCAAATGCAATTCCATTGAATCGATAGACAGCTAAGTTGGACGGCGAGAGAGGTTGGTCCATGTTTTTTAGCCAAAGCAATTTACAGAATACGATTAATGAGATTTGATGACAGGCCTTTTCGATGTCGGCCAAAACGGGGATTTCGGTTTCCCGGAAGATGAGTAATTGGTTAATTAAATTGGCAAGTGAAACTAGTCCTCTAAAGAGTGTTTGGTTGAGCGAGGGAAGTCCTTTTCGATGAGCGATTGCATCGTATAATAGGCGAATTTTCCCTTTATTTGATCCTGCATGGTGTGGAAGGATGTGTTTCTGTGCGCTTGTATTGCACTGTGCGGTTTCAATTACTTCCAGTTTAAGTTGATCTTCTATTGCGTCATGGTATTCCTGGGCTATTGTGGGCGCCCTTTCTATTCGGTTAGATACTGAAGATAGGCGTTTGGCAGCCATATCAAAATTGGAGGGTAATTCCGATGGGGGTCCGGAAGTTCCTTCTGGTGATTTCCAAGGAAGTCCCACTGTGTATCTCTCATCTGGGTCCTGTTTGATCGATTGATCGACTAATCTTGTGGCGATTTCGTCGTCCCTATTTCCTGGGTTGTCGGTGATACCCATAGACTCAAGGTTCCAAAATTGCTCTATTTTATTACTGGCAGGCATTTCTTCCGGTGAGCTGTGCACGGCAGAAAGAGAAATGCAGGTTAGCGAGGTAGGTGAAATATAATGGGGTAATTCACCGCAGAGCATCGAACCAAAGTGAGTTTTTATAATGTGCAGATTTCTTCCTATTTTCCTGGATCCGAGGAAGAATCTCCAGAATTCTCTAACTCCTAGTAGAATTTCTGGTTCCCTATTTTTGACGGGAATGTTTTTGAGGTCTCGGTGGTTAGTAGGGATCCGAGTTCCATCCCATTGAATACACGGAAATGCCGGGACGATTTGCGGGATTGAGCAAAATACAACTTCTTCCCATCTCCCATTGGGCTTATGGAGCCTAATCTTGTGTCCAGTTGAGCGAAATTTGACTTTATCGGCGCCAAAAACGCGTACTGAGTGATTGGAGGTAGAAACCCTCGGTGGTCTTAAACGGTCGACCAAAGATTGAGAAATGTAGGAAGTTTGGGAGCCGGTGTCCCAGAGACCAACAGTAGTGTAAATTGGTCGATTATTCCCAGAGCTTAATTTTAGTTTGCAGGTCATCAGAAAGGTATGCGGTTTAGACCCGGTTGCGGTCATAGCCACTTCTGGGTTGGCGGGAACATTCTGGTTTGTTCCGGGTTGATTTTCAGAATTCGTTCGCGAATTTGTATACACTTGCGGCGGTCGGTGAGTCAGACTATTAACCGGTGACAAGTTTTCATTCCCTCGAAAATAGTTATTTTTCTGCTTAGTTGGGTGACTAATTTTTCTTTTGTATTGCTCCCCTTTTTGGCGGGTGCAGATAATAAAGTGGTGCTTGCCGCCGCAGTTCCTACATCTTTTGGTCGATGTACACTGCCCGATTTTATGTCCTTCGCGTAAACAATTCAAACACCTGCGTTGAGCCTGCAAGCGGGTTTTGCGGCTTTCGGGTGTTTGGAATTTGCGGCAAACTGAAGGGAGGTGATCTCCAGTACAAAGTGAGCATTGGCCGACATTCCTTTCAATGGCTGTGAATGTGCGGGTAAAGTTGGATGATGGCGAATGTGCTGGCCGGTGACTCTTTGATTGGCGAGTCGGCTGACTATATTCCCTTTGAATGGACGGGACTCTCAATCTCTTTGTGCAAATTTCCACTTCCTCTCTTATTGCTACTTGTTCTAAAAGGAAATTCCTAAGTTCCTTATGTGTCCAGTCTCCGGCTGGTGAACTTCGTTCCCTCTCTATTATTTTTTCAATAAGAGTGGAAGGAAGTTTGGCCTTAATTGTGGTGACTAGTAGGGACGCGTCTTCTTTTGTGCTGAAATTGCATTCTAATTGTCTGCAAATTCTTTCTATGTTATCGCAAAAGGTGCGAAGCGAATCAGCGGTGTCCTTTGTTGGTGGTAATTGAAGAAGCTCTGATTGGAGAGTTTCTCTGAGGTTCCGGGTACTACCATATCTTCCTTTTAAACATTCCACTATAATCGGGTAATTTTCGGCAATTCTCGGGTATCCTTGGATGGTCGATTCCGCTGATCCCATGAGTGAATTGCATAAATGGTGGACTTTGAGCGCGTCTGGGATGTTTGGATTGTCATGGATGGCCAACTCAAAACATTGCCAAAAACTGGTCCATTTTTCGGGTTCCCCAGAAAATTTCGGAATTTCCATGGGAGCGATTTTAAAAGAGTCGTATGCTGGGTTACGCGGTAATTCTTGTTGGTTTGGTCGCTGGGAATGATGCGAGTGTCGGGATCGTATGGAGGCGCTCCGTGATCTAGTCCTGGACTGAAGATTGCCGGAAGTGCTATCCCGTTTGACTATTTCATCGATTGTGTCGATGATGGCCAGGACTTCCACGACCCATTCGGTAAAATGTTTGTAGCCCGCTAGGAGGGGGTCATCCGGTGCCGGGCGTTGGAAGTTTTCATAAATTCTTTCCTCCGCCGGTAGGTTTTCCCGTTTCATTTTTCTCATAAAATCCTGCCATTCCCGGTTTAAATTTTCTAACCTTACGGTATTACTGGCCAACTGCTTCCGAAGAGTGCGGAGTCTTTGTAGTTGCTGTTCTTCTAACACCTCTTGTTGGGCGGTGATGATGTTGGTAGCTTCATTGAGGTTGGTTTTGAGTTGTCTGATGGCTGGGACGATCATTTTGCGGATTGGTCCCGACGACATGATGGATGAAATAAAGTAGATCTGTTGAAATGTAGAGACGGTTGATTAGAAGAGTAGTGTAGACTGTAGAGTTGTAATGGAAGAGTAGTTCTAACGTTGATGATCTAGTTGGTTGATCTGTAGAACGTAGAATTGAAGAGTCGAATGATGTGTCGACAGAAGTAGTGTTGAGTTGAATTGGTGGCTGGAAGTTGCCTGGAGGGATGAAAAAACAGAAGAAAAAAAATTATTTAAATTTAATTTAATTGAAATTGAATGAAGAAAATGAAGAGAAGAGGGTCCCGGGTCGTGGCACCAAAAAGTTTGTCGCTGAAAGAATGAGAGCTGGGTGCGGCGCGACGGTATGAACCGCACAGCTGTCGGGAGGTTGAATTAGACTGAATAAAGTGAAGAGGAGCTGAGCTAGTCGGGAGGTAGCTGAGCTGGAATATCCCGGGAATCCCTCAATCTTCTAAAATGTGATCCTCTCTAGTGGGCGAAAGGATGGAACCAAAGCTCTGTAGATTGGCGAGCTAATTGGATTGCGGCTCTTAAATGGACGAGCGGAAGGGATCACACGCTCTTTAGTGGACGAGCGGGATCAGACACGCCTTAGGACGGCGAATTAAAGGAATACCAAGCAAAAGAAAGAATAAACAAAAATAATATTTATTCCGGACCTTAAACTTGGGTAATTAAACCATAAAATTAAAATAAGTGAAAAAAGACTTAAGTTTGGCCAATTAAGTTAAAGAGAATTTAAAGTAGATTAAAGGCCAAAACCTAAGTTGGAAAAAACTAATAGAATGCAGGTGGGGAAAAATGTGAATAATTAAAGGAGAAAATACACAGAGAAGATTAAAGCTAAAAATAGCTATAAAACTTAATGAATGAATAAAATGAAATAAGCTATTGGAGAAGCGATCAGAAATAAAAATGGGGTTAGCACAAAAGGGTGTGGCTAACAAAAGATATGGGCAACTGGTACAATCGGTTAAAAAATAGACGGTGCAAAAGATCACCAATAAATTAATCAAAAATATTTAAATCAATCTATGGCAAACGTCGCTTCGGCGACAGAAGTTATCTGCCCTTGCCTATTCCATTCAGACTTATAGGCACCAGCTTACTTCCCATTCGTTCTCCCAAGATATAAGTTAGTGGCTAACTCTCAGGGAATGCACTCTCTGATAGCGATGATTTCTCTTCACATGATTTTGGATGATCCCGGCCTTATCATTTCATTCATTTAATCTGGCTCTTATTTTTTCCTAGTCTCTGTTTTGATAAAATAAAAAACATTTTATACAAAAAATATTTTTTGCCTGATTTTGGTTTCTAGCAATTAAATGCTGTTTTAATTGTTCATTTAATTCAACAAATTGATTTAATAAAGCAATATATACATAAGACAAATTATTATATTGTTCTCTAATATTGGTATTTGGTTGCACAGGATCTTTATTTTTAAAAATTGTTTAAAAATAAAAATAGAAATTACGTAACATCCAATTTGTTAAGACTGGAAGGTACTTTAAGTTGCCAAATTCTTCAATAAAAGGACTAATTTGTTGACGCAATTGGGTAAAATCCTATTAAATATGTTTATATCTTTGTTTCGCTACAATAATACAAACATCTGGTTCCACTGGTTGTTGTGATCCTGAAGGACCTTCTCTAGGATGCATTCCTCCTGGATGCGATCCTGAACCTTCTCCTTGATACATCACTCGTGGTTGCGATCCTGAACCTTCTCCTTGATACATCACTCTTGGTTGCGATCCAGAAGGACCCGGATTCATTCCAAATAATAACGAAAAAAGTTGAAGAAAGCAAAAATTTAAAAGAATTAAATTGTAAATTTTCATCTTTAAATTATAATAAATGTTAAAATTTAAATATTATCTAATTTAATATTGCACTAATGCTGATGCAATTTACTATTGCTGTCCGATTACATGATTCAAATATTTTCCCAATCAACTTATTTAAATTGTTGGTTGCCCTTTAAAAGTTTAATTAACCTTTACTTCCTTTCACTTGCGCTTTTCCTTTAAAAAATTATTTAAAATTTTGCACTTTTTAATTTTTGCGAAATATTTAAAAAATATTTTTAATAAATAATTATAAAATATATTTCTCAATAAAAAATAATTAGCGGAGTTTTTTAAATCTTAAACCCATTGTAAGGTTTTAATTTAATCTTCAACAGACGGTTAAATAAAGGATTTAAAAGAAATTTGAAAGGATTAAGCCTCCAACTGGCAATAACACCCCATAAAAGGAATGAGTCTCATATTGACCGCGACGGTCCGGGCACTATAATAAGAATTTATCAAAGGTTAGCGTTTCGGAACCGAAATGCATAACCAAAAAATTCTGTATACAATTCTGTATAAAATATAGAATACTACCTCCAACAAATTTTTCTAAAAATCGCAAGATTTTCGCTTCCAAAATTTTTCTTAACTAACTCTAAGTGTAATTAATCTAGTTAAAAATATTTTTTGAAAAATTATGTTGTTACATAAATTTTCAACTTAAAAATCAATTTAAATATTCAGCAATTCCTTACACCGATGGGCAGCTTTCGCCGTCGACTACCTCCAACACCCTTGGATTTGGCAAATGGAAGATTATCTGGTTCTCAAGATGCAATATTAATACTCCCACTTTCCGAGGATGTTGGAAATGGAAGTGTAACACTCCCACCAAGCAGAAGAACAAGTTCACCTAGAATATTGCCAACACCTCCATCACCTTTACAACAATTCTCCCCAAATTCTAGAGGAATTCAAAATTCTTCTAATATGGTATATAATTTACCTATATGTTCTATATTTTATAGATATTTTTTTGTTGGTACATAAACTGACAATATTTTTTGGTAAACTGACAAGGGGTCGGCACGGGATAGGGAAATGCAGGCTTAGTAATGGATACAGATATGGATACAAATAAGTTCAAAAGCCTGCAGATATCCATCATAATTATCCGGATGCGGATACCAAAATACATGTCCATTACCAAGTCTGGGGAAATGTATGTATTATCCGAGATCACCATATAATTCCCAAAGACCTGAAACCATTATTTTTAAAATTTCGGATTGGTGGGAATTTTATTATTAAGTTACGGGATAACGGTATTACGATGTTATTCTCCTTTCACACTTTTCGAAATAGATTCCGGTACCCTCTTTATTGGATTTATTAACTCATCCTTAACATTTTCTTTTGTAGAACTTATCTTACAACGACGAAAATGTTGGTTATCAGCAACCACCCCCTGCAAGCCCTTTTGAAAGGCGTCGCTCAGTTCGTCGTCAACTACCTCCAGAACCCCCAAATATTCAACAATACGATTCTACCCCAAAACTTATAATTGTTAACAATAATTCTTCACATCAAATAACTAAAAGACAATTGAGTGGTGAAACAAAAAGTAATAAAATTGAAGGAATAGCAACATTAACTATTGAAGAAAATGTTGAGAATGGGAATGGGTTACAAAGGAGTTGTTCTACTAGAAGTACACGTCGAACAAAGGGAATGGAAGGAGAGAAGAATATGAGAGGGACTAGGTAATTAAAATCTAAACTGGGGTAGTCTAAGATGGGGTGGGACTTGATTCTGTGGAGCTCTCCGATTCAGGGTTGTCAAACGCTCAACTATACCACTACCGATTGAAGTTTTCATTTTAAACTGCTAATGTGACTCGGAGGAAACCTCACCGACTAGCCCCGCCTCACCTGCTAGTCTCTCAACCTCACCAGCTAACTCATAGTGGCTATACTCCACAGATATTTGTGAAAGGGTTATAAGGAGAGTCAACACTTTACGCAAGTTTTACGAGTCATTTTACTTTCTCGGATTTTGGGAGTAGTTTCTTTTGTCTTCGGATTACCCTAAATTTACTTCAAGTTTTCCACTTCACGCCCAATCAAAGCCTCTTTAAATCAAAATTTTATTAAATTTCCTCAGGGGTTCAAATGCTTCATCCAATTTGCCTCCAACACCCTGGACTCAACACTCATTAGAGCAACAACATAATAATTTCGAAAATAATTCTAATAATGTTATAACCTTAGCTAACAATATTTCCCCCTCCCCTCTTCCTCCATATATTAATGAAGAGGAACAGAATACCCAGAAACAACAACCCCCTCTATTAAAAATACCTTCAATAAATGCCTTAACTTGTAACAATAATAACGTTACAAGGCATGGACGAACATTATCTAGCAGAAACATAAAAGAGGAAAAAACAACAGAAATTGTATAATATTTAATTAATTTTGTTAATTAATATACAGTCAAAGCTCACTAAAGAGTACTTCTTAAGACTGAAAAAAAATATAATGATGGGTTAAACGTCCGGATAGAACTAGGGAAAAAGGAAGATTCTTGCCCAATGCCTTCCAAAATTTTCAAAATTTTCGCCAGCGGCGCTGAAAACGTAAGAATCGGTCGAAAAAAGCCCGGGTATCGGGTTTCGGATAACCCGTCCCATCCCTGCTCCCTATATTCGTCATTCCTGTACCCAATTCAGCCCCTCAAAGACAGAGCAGTTCAGCAAGAGATGCTTGCTCTATTTAAGCAAGCATCTCCTAAATTAGGTGTTGGGTCTCCTAAATTGAGGTATTGGGTGTACCTTATAGCGAATTCTGACTGTATCTAGAAATACTATCATTCTAGTAGTTTAAATAAAAAATCAGTTAAAAATCTAAGAAATTTTACTTCGTCCTTTTTTAAAATTTAGTTACAACACCAACGCCGTAGTCTTACTGAACAAACAGAAACAATGCCATTATCCCCAACAACCCGCCCAGTTGCTTCCAGCCTTGGGGCTACCATGTCAGGACCTCGAATTGCCTTCTCTAAACCAAAATTAACCCTAAACAACAAAAAAGAAGAGGAAGACATTTTGTCCAATGATATAGAACTCGATAATGAAGAAAATCAAATGATCGCGAAATTAAGCATTGCAAGTGGTCGGCCTTCTATAACGAGTACAAATTC